CATCTATCACATCACGCGGAGAGAGTGTACCAACGCCTGGGCGTACACTTACCGGTGTGGCATTCTGTCGCACCCACTGTTTCATGGACCGTGCTTGAGACTGCATCTCCAGCAGGCGCGCTGAGTATTGCTGTGGTGCGTTTAATTCTCGCTGTAGAGTATAGGTGAGGGGAGTATAGACTACAGGGGTGAGCTTGAGTGTGCGTGTGCCAGAGATTGGCGAGATTAACGCTCGCTGTGACACGGACTGTTGAGTACAGAAAGGAGGCTTGAGCTACACAATCCAATCTCCGCACAGATGTATAACTACGGTACCAACATTAGCAGAGCAGACAGGACTAGCACAACTGGGATGCGTTCAACTCTGGCTAAGAGGCTATGTATTGAGTATATAGTGGAGCCATAGATGAGCCATAGATGAGTCATAGATGAGCCATAGATGAGCCATGAATGAGCCATAGATGAGCAATAGATGAGCCATAAATGAGTAATAGATGAGCAATAGATGAGCCATAGATGAGTAATAGACGAGCCATAGATGAATCATAGACGAGCCATAGATGAGTCATAGATGAGTCATAGATGAGCCATACACGAGCAATAGATGAGCCATAGATGAGCTATATTGAATATAGATAACAGCGTATTGTGTCGAGCATGCAGATGTTGTCATGGAATCGGAACACACACACGCACCTTGTAGAAATTTCATTCAGTATAAGCACGCAAATTAGATATATACACGCACACACACCTTCATTTGTTCGAGTCGCACTAACATCTGCTCTTCATTATGGGTCATGGCGCGTTCCCTGCCCCTCTGTGATTCTATAAGCGACACCGCCTGAGTGATACGGGATGAAAACGTGAGAAGAAAGTGCAACGCGTTTCTTTTTTATGAGACTTTGAATACACAAATTTCGTGTATGTGCACATTATTTTAAATCGGCTTACATGTATAAATTTATACAAACATATATTCCTGCACAGATTCATAAACACATAAATACATACTTACATACATACATACATACGTACATACATACATACATACATACGCATACATACGAATAGATACGAGTACATACGCATACATACGCATACATACATACACACACACATACATACATACACACACACATACATACATATATTCATATTTACATAGATACATACATGGATACATACACAGTTTCATACAGAGATTCATACATAGATTCATACATATATACATAGATACATTGATACATACATTAGTACTTAGATACAGAGGTACATAGATACATAAACGCATGGATACATAGATGCATAGATACATGGATACATAGAAGCATAGATACATACATAGAATCATACCTATAAAAATTCATACATACATACATACATACATACAGACATTCATATCTACATACAAACATACATCCAGACATACATCCAAACATACAATGATATATAAATACATCAATAGGTTCATATATACATTGATACTTAGATTCATACACTCACACATTCATATATACATTTAAATATTCATATATACATACATACATACATACATACATACATACTGACTCACATACATACATACATAGATTCATAAGTAAATTGATACATTCATAGATTCATACATACATTGATACATTCATAGATTCATACATTCATGGACTCATGCGTACAGACAGGTATCTGAGTATACATGCACAATCTCATGTACGAATACGTGCTTCGAATACATTTAGACCAGAAAGCGCGTGGTACCGCTTGTGCTTGACTGCGTATCCTACGAACTAGTATATATATATATATACATATATACATATAAATATATAGATATATAAATATAT